GCCGCACCTGTCCTACTCCACGCCGACCCTATTCCCCCACTGTCCATTCATCCTCCGCCACTGACGCTGTGGATTCTACTCGGCCAGTGGAGGGATTTCTCTCTCTCTCTCTCTCTCTCTCTCTCTCTCTCCTGTCTCTTATACACATCTAGATGTGTATAATTTTTTTGGCTGGGCCCTTCCCTGGTCCTTGCACGGCCGGCCCGCCCGGGAAAATAGGGTGACCCGGGCGGCCTGGCTGGTAGCCTAGGTCTTTACTAAAAGGTACTGCCGTTTTGGGAACTGTTTGTGGGGTGAAACTGGTACTAGATTGCTGGATTGAGAGGAGATTGTGTAGGTAGGTCTGGGTTCGGAGGTCGGGTGTCTATTGTGTTTGGGAGAGAAATGTCGTGTCTGGGGGGTGTAGTGTGGGACCAGGGTGGTTTGTTGGGAGGTAATGGGGCTAGGAGTGGGAGGGATATGAAGCGTTTGAGGGGTTAATGGTGGGACTAGGGTTGTGTGCTTTCTTATGTAGGAGAAGAGGTCTGTGGGGTTTGCGGGTCGGCATACCATCTGTTAGTAAAATCCAATATTATGCTGTTGTCACGGACTGTGTTGTCGAGGGTGGTTGCTTTGGTCTTATGGGGGGATAAGTATTTCGATTGTGTGTCTTGGGTGTGGTTATCTGTTGCGTGTTAGAAGGAGTTGATCCGGATGCTGACTGAGTCTGGTGTGCTGATCATTGGACCTGAATCTGGACTGTTGGTCTGAGATTGGTCATTCCACATTTTGAAGATTAGGCTCTGACCATTGTTGATTGCGATCTTACCCTTGACCATAAAATTCTCCTCAAATTTAGTCTGAAGTTCTTTGGCTTTGGGTTCGTTCGCTTTCATCTTCCTCTTGACTTTGCGCCATAAGACCCAGTATTCCGTTTCTACCTGTTGCCTGAGGATACTCCGTACTTCCTGCACGTGCATTGGTTGTGTATCGATCGTTTCTTGGCATCTTTTTCTCCAGATGGACCATATTGTTGCCTTGCGCAGGATTTGGAATAGGTTGATTAGTAGGGGGGGGCAGTCGTCGGGTGTTGTGAAACCTTGTAGAATAAGGGTAGGATTTGCTGTGAAATTTGTGCTGGTTGTTGAGAACCAAATCTGTGTGATCTTGTTCCATATGGGTTTGATGTTGGGGCATTGGAGGAAGCCGTGAAACATGTCCTCTATCTGTCCTTCTGTGCAATTGGCACACAGTTCATTTAAGGGGTTTCTATCTTCTTTTCTTCTTCTAATGTTCAGCCATTGATTGAGTGGGATGTAGTGTTGCTATTTGGTTCCAAGGTATTTCTTTTAAAGTCTCGGGGTCTATCTCGAGGTGTCTATTCCAGCGATCTGCTATGATTTTTTCTGGGGCTGTTGATCTACATATTAGTTTATAACCTAGGCTGGTGGTGTAGTTGATCAGGTTAATTCTGCCGTCAATTCTTGTGAACTTTTGCTTAGATTCCATGCCCATTCTGCTGGGTCAAATTCTAAGTCTTCTATGGCAGTTTGGGGGTGGAATATAGTCAGTTCTTCATTTTCTATTACTCCTGACGTTTCTAAGATTGTCTTCGCTGATCGTGGTCTGCGCTACTGAATCTTTGTTGACTTCGCCATAATCTGCACCTGTTTCTTGTGGACTGTGCATGGAGAAAGTGAGCCACTTTGTTTCTACCGTCTTCCTTTCTTATAATTGAAAGCGCGCGTTCAATGGGTTTTATGTGTATCATAACCTCCCAATCACCTATTGACCACTGTTTATCCTTTTTAAGAGTTGATGTCCACTCCAACAGAATGACATTTATTTAATTTTATTATATGTTGGAGGTTTTGGGATAGGTTGTGGTATCCGTTTGAGTTTTTCTATGAGTTGTCTGGCGAACTGCCAGTCTTTTTTAAGGTCATCCTAGATATGTTTTATTTGCCAGATGCCTCTCTCCAGCCAAGTGGCCCATCTTGGGTCCTTTGAGGTGAGGATGAAACAGTGTGTTTTCATTGCTGGTTATCCAAGGGTTACATAAGAGAGGTTGTCTAACGATTTCTTCTTTGTTTATTGGTTTCCTTACTTTCGCCGAAAATATTTATCTCCACGCCTTCAATAGCCTCTTCCAAAAATTCAGTCTTCGTTTGTTTTGGAACTTGTCTTTTATAGTCGATGATTTGCTTAGTATCCAGAATCCTTCATGTTTTCTGGTGTCTTGTAGATCAGAATCTGTTGCAAGCCTTCTAGAGCCAACGCCCTCCACGATGGTTTAGGGTTCGTTAGTAGCTTTATGGTAGTTTTTGGGGAGCTTTTATTTGGTTAGCTGGGTCAAGGACGCCTACGCCTCCTTGGCTCTTCTTTCTTGTTAGGTATTGCGAAGCCACCTTCGTGATAAAGCTCTATCTTGATGTGTCTCCTGTCCAGAGGTAAGTTGCTGCTTTCTTTGGTAAGTCCTTAAGGTCCTTTGGTTTGGGGTTCAGAAAGCTGCCACATACCACATCATCGAGTAAATGGATACATGCAGCACTGATGCCCTGCCGTGAAGGGAGGTATGTAACTTCCCCCAATCATTGAGTTTGTCGGTCATTTTGGCTAGCAGACTGGGTGCCATGTTTGCTGCTGCCCCCTGAAGGCTGCTGCCCCCTGAAGAGAGAGAAAGAGAGAGAGAGAGAGAGAGAGAGAGAGAGAGAGAGAGAGAGAGAGAGAGAGAGAGAGAGAAAACTCGACAGGTGTAGTGTATCCGTGGTCCATTTGGACCAATAGAAAAAGAAAGAATAAAAGAAATAGGAAAACTGCATGCGCACGCACTACGGAGAGAGAGAGAGAGAGAGAGAGAGAGAGAGAGAGAGAGAGAGAGAGAGAGAGAGAGAGAGAGAGAGAGAGAGAGTCTACCTAGTGACCCCCCCTGGAACCCCTACAGCCATCACGTGTATTATCTGTACCGATCAGTTTGATATCTGATCCGTGGTTAATTGGGACCCAATAAAAAAAAGAAAAAAAAAGAAGAAATGGAGAGCGCGCCTGTTCACCTTGCGAGTGTGCTAAAGAATGCTTTGAAATTAAGAGATCAATGTACTATTAGTCTATTACCGTGTCAGTATGGTATTACGGCATTTATGTTCATGCCATCAGATCCACCAGTACCTCGCCCAGCTTGAAAAGGCCGACGCGGCCGTTAACGCGCCGCGTCGGGCGGGGTACCCATCGGCGAACGACCGGTAGGCCCAAAAAAACGAGGCAAAAAAAAAAAAAAAAAAAACGTCGACGAGAATGACAAGTAACGAACGAAAAAAAAATTGGGCGCGGCGGGGGACTGAGGGGGGGAAGAACGAGAGAGAGAGAGGGCGTCAGAGAGTGTCTGACGCCGAGTTTGGCACACCAAACTCGGGGTCAGACACTCTGACGCCCTCTCTCTCTCTCTCTAAACGTCCATATGAGAGTGAATTTTCCGTGTTATCGCGGAAGATTTACTCTCATATGGACGTTGAGAGAGAGAGAGAGAGAGAGAGAGAGAGAGAGAGAGAGAGAGAGAGAGAGAGAGAGGGCGCGACCTATGAAAAGACCGCGCCAAAAACAACGAGCAATTTGTTTCGGGCTCATCTGCCCATGTTCTAACGGGAAGCTCATTCTCATTTTGCACATTCGAGAGTTGTGGGGGGGGATGCGCAGTGTCCGTTGCAGTCGGCGTCAGAGAGTCTGACGCCCCCTCCCCCCCTCTCTCTCTTGATCGATTGATCGACTTCCATTTGAGAATGAATCTTCCGCGATAACGTGGAAGATTCATTCTCAAATGGACGTCGATCGATCGAGAGAGAGAGAGAGAGAGAGAGAGAGA